GACAAGCAAGTTGGCCACCTATCAGCTCACACTGGAAAGGTTTGGAGAAGCTCAGTAGGGAGCGCTGGACCTGCACACAGCTTACAAGACTGCTTTTATGAACTGTAGGAGAACATACCTGTTCCTGGAATGTTGCATTAACATCATCCAGTCTCTGTTGCAGCAAGAGCATTTGTTCCTCATGCTTCTTTTTAAGCGTCGACACAACCATCTCATGCTGCTCACGGGCTCGGTTAATTGAGTCAGAGCGCCGCAAGTCCATAACTTGCTGCTGCATACTCTCCATTGCAAGCTTGGCAACCTTTAATTCCTTCCTCAACTATGTAAAAACAAAAGACATTATTAGAGCACTGAACACAAAAGAACATAATACAGCTGTATGCTTTATATAGGCCCCTTTCACACGGGCATTCTGTGTATCCGGTTTTCATCTGTCCGTTTACGGATGAAAAAAACAGACACCCATGAATTTCTATGGACTAGCGGATGTAAACGGGTGATCATCTGTTTATATCAGTTAATGTCCGCATCTGTTAACAGCCATTTTTTTTGAACGGAAAAAAAAAAAAAAAAAAAAAAAAAAAAAAAAAAAAAAAACCCTATTTTTCTTCTATTACAAAAAAAAAAAAAAAAAAAATGGAACGGACGACGAATGGATGTAAAACGGACAAAAACTGCCGAACAATTGATGTAAACTGATGAAAAACTGATGTAAATTGATCCATTTTTTCTTGGAAAAAACGTGACTGCAGTGATGAAAAAAACAGAACGCCCATGTGAAAGGGGCCATACAGCGCTTACAAATTATTTAAACAGTACCTGTTCATCATTCGAGGTTAATCCATCCATAGTGTTCTGCAGGGCAGAAATCTGTCCCCTCAGCTGAAGCTCCACTTCTCTGGAATTCTGAAGCAAAGTCTGTGACTCCTGAAGGCTGATAGCCAAGCCAGCCCTTCTCATCTGTATGTACAATGTATCAATGTGACATATGAGCATTTGTTACATAGTAAGAAGTGTTGTCCTGTTTTGGAATGCATAGTTAATAAAAACTAAGGCTCCATGCACACTAGAGTTTTTTAAGCTCCTAGACAAAAAAAAAAAAAAAAAAGCTAAAAACGCTACTAACAGCTTTTATCTACATATACTGTAAAAACGCTAATAAAGCACTAACATTCCTGAAAATGCTATTACCAGCGTTTTTTTGAGCTTTAAGAAAGAAAGAAAAAAAAAAAAAAACACACACACTAGTGTGCATGGAGCCTTAAAAGGACAACCACAGGAATTCACCATTTAAAATGTGCTGGCTTACAATGGGTTAAGTCCAACAAGGTGTGCGCCACTTCGTGGATAATACTCTTAATTTACAATTTTACTGAAGGCAAATAGTATAGCTTTCGCTATGCTGTATTTATGGCACTCTGAAAGAAGAGATTTTACTTGCAAGATATTTATTTACAGACACACACACATACACACACACACACACACACATATACACACACACACATACACACACACACACATATACACACACACACACACACACACACACACACACACACACACACACACACACACACACACACAGCTAATCGCAGGCTATCCCCTCTTCAGTCTATCATGAATGCTGCTGCCAGACTCATCCACCTTACTAACCGTTCTGTATCTGCCACCCCTCTCTGCCAATCCCTCCACTGGCTTCCCATTGCCTAGCGGATAAAATTCAAAACATTAACAATAACGTATAAAGCCATTTATAACTCTGCCCCAAATTACATCACTGATCTTGTTTCCAAATATCACCCAAGCCGTACTCTGCTCCTCCCAAGACCTCCTGCTCTCTAGCTCCCTTGTCTCCTCCTCCCGTGCTCATCTCCAGGACTTCCTCAGAGCCTCCCCCATCCTCTGGAACTCGCTACCTCAATCTGTCAGACTATTGCCTACTCTGCCCACTTTTAGGCGAACTCAGAAAGCCTCTCTCTTCAGGGAAGCCTATCCTGCCTTCAGCTAATAATGGAATCTTCTACCAGTTATCACCTTTTGTACCACTAACCCCTACCTCTTAGATTGTAAGCTCCGAGAAGCAGAGCGCTCCTAACACTCTTGTATTGAACTGTATCGTTGCTGTATTGTCTCCCTTGAGCTATATATATATATATATATATATATATATATATATATATATATATATATATATATATATATATTATATATATATATATTACACACACATAACCCCGAATGTGCAGTTTTCCTACTTTACAGCTGCTTCTAGGGGCGTTTGGCGTTTTTTTTTTTCTGCCTCTCCAGCACTCCCCAGCATGTTAGCCTATGTGTCCATGCACACAAACTTGTAGGGGAGTTGAGAGTCATATGTATTTAGAGGGAGAAATAACCCACTGCCAGGAGCAGCAGAGTTTTGGCAGGAAAAAAAACTCTTCTAAAAAAGTGCGTAAACATTTCTAAACATGCGTTAATGCTAGGCACATTTAGCGCTTAAGCATTAATTCATTTCAATAGCCAGAATAAATAATTTATTCTCGCCAATTAAATGAAAACGCCCAAATGCTTGATGCAGCTAAACATGCCTAAACGCATTACACACTTTTACAAGCACCAGATGTTTCTGTCAAAACGCTGCTGACAAGAGGAGAGGCTTCTAGGCGAGTTAGGGAAACGTCCTGTGTGCATGGGGCCTAAACAGCCTGCACATGCCAGGATACGCCACATTCTGTGATTACATAAGTTGTGTACAAATTTTACAAGGCTATGAACATAATATAATGGTGTTGATTCATGCCATTGTTTTGTTTCAACGCAGCAGATTGTGACATGAACCACATCACAGCACAGCTGTAGTGAATACAACTGTACTGAAATGTCACTTATTTCAATAAAGTGCTGTGAAAAAACGCTGTCACTGTATCTCACAGTGCACACAATATAGGTCAACTAAAGGATGAAAACAGAACAGTCATTACAGGATTCATTAAGCCCTGGTACACATATATGCGGCCGTGCGTTCCGCGTTTCGCGCAGGCACGAGAGCCCATTCATTTGAATGGACTCCCGTGCCCCGTGACAGGCAGGGAACAAGTCCCTGGACTTCTTTGAAAAAAGCAGTACGGTTGCGGTTTCCAGTGCAGGCGGCGTGCCATTACAACAAATGACATCCGCCTGCGGGTCCACAGTCCTCTGTGCGGGTGGTGTGGCTGCACGGATTTTCTTGCGGATCCACAGCGGCATCATCCGCACAGATGTGAACCAAGCGTGAAACTGCTGGTGGTGTGGAAAGTGTTCAATACATCTTGATTGGATGGCAATATAGATCAGTCTACCGTTTTTTCTATGGTGCATCCACCGTGCACACTTCGTTACACTACCAAACTTTTGCAATGATATTTTAAAAAGGGGCACAGAGCAAGGGAGTTCACCTTTAATTATCACAAGCTGATGGTTGAGGTATCTCAGTTGCCGTTCACTTTCTTCTAGCTTTCCATTCAATTCTTCAAGTTGCCTTCCTTTTGCTTTGTAAAGGACTTGTAATTGTACAAACTGCATGTTACCAGAAGTACCTAAAAAAATACAGCAGTAACATTTTTCCTATCAATTCACCATATAATGTAGGCATTTTACACAGGAACATTAAATAAAGCCCTTACATTCCCCAGTATCCAGGAACTCTTTTTGAAGGTCTTCATAATTGTCAAGTCTTTTTGCTGCATCTGGTTTTATATCTTTATGAGAACCATGTATCTGGTATGGGTTGTATCGGACTGGGATAGAGTCTTCAGGATGGTCGCCGTTTCCTTGAGTGGCAGTGAACATCTATGACAATGGAAGAACTCATTAAGCCATGTCATACAAGTAAACATCACACAACCGGTAAACCAGTAACATGGACTGCTATTCTATATGCAAGAAGCCATTTTGGAGAATTAAAGGCTAAGTTCACCTCTTAGAACACATTACACCAATATTTAGGGTGTAACATGTTCCAGCTCCTCCCTACTTCTCCCCTTAACCGCTTCACCTGCGACAGCGGGCAGGGCTCCACCTACACAGCCGGGTCATTCATTCACACAAATCTGTGAATGAAGAAACTACCACAGCAGCAGACAGCTTGTAGTTCTCAATGGACTGTGAGGGTGCTGATGAGCGCCCCTCGTAGTCCACTGACAATTATGACAGCACTAAAACGGACAGCTTGTACAGAGATATGGGCACAGAGTTGTAGGCAGTGTCTGCAGGAGCCTGACATTGCACCCACTATCCACTGACCACAGGTGAAATGTTCTACAGGCTCTTGTGAAGAAGAAAAAAAGTTTTTTCCTTTAAAAATGTAAATAACTGATGTGTTATAGTGCACTCTGCAGGTTTTATTTTCCTAAGGCCCCTTTCACACAGGCAGCAGTCCCTACAGCCCCCCCACCTCTCTGAAAATTGAGAGGTGCATTGCATTCATGGGAATATTTTTAGAGAGATTCTGCATTGAAATAGTGCACTGCATTTGACACCGCAGTCCATTTGACAGGCAGCATCAAGTTAAAATTGGAGTGGCCACCGAGTTTAGTTAGAGGTGTGAGGTCACGGAGCATTTTTTTTTTCTTACTGCCCCCTTCCTACCTGTGTAAAAGAGGCTTTAGGGTAGAGGCAAAATCTTCTGCCGTTCAACCGTCTTTGTTACTTACTGAATATTTCTTGTACTTCTTGTGACAGCCAACCAGAACGCAGCCTACCTACCATGACAGTGTGGAAATTTACAGTAACCACAGAGGAAAATAAAACATTCCACACACCAAATATGAGCAAACCTGATTCTGCTTGTGACTGGAATCTGAAAAGTTTTCACCGAGCTGATATCCACCGTTGGTGTATGGCTGAAAGTCCTCGGGAAGATGATACAGTTCACCTGTGGAATGATCAGGTCCATCATAATGATCATCACTATGGAAGCTTCCCACATTGGACTCCTCATTTCCATGCTTTCTGTAATTGCTGTATTTATCTGTAAACATATCTTCATTATCGCTGTGCTGGGCTCCCCAACCACTGCGTATTTTATCACCGCCTGCTTCACTTCTTAGAGGTCCAATCTGCTGGCCCATATACTGTGGAGCAACTGCTTTACCTGGGTATTGCTAGGAAGGAGGAGGAATGTTCAGGACAAGGTCATCTCTCAAATATAAAAGTCACAACAAGTTAATCAAAGACAAAAACTTACATTTTGGCAGTCAGATGTTCTTCCGTCATGTCCCCATTGTGTCTCTGGGTGCCAGGGTTTATTACTTGTAATGAAATTCAGGAAGTAAACTGTTAGTTCTGCCATATCATACATTATTTTTTACTAATGCATTGAAGATAAAGTAAAAAGGTAAGCATTCTCATAAATCGTAAACAACACATTATGAAGGTTCAGAGGTGATGGATAGATCATAAAGTTTACTCAATAAGGCAAAGAAAGGTAACCGATGGCATCTAACTGCCTTACTAATTAAAGCCAGCCATAGAGGGTTTGATTCTTGGCCAGTTCAGCAGGGACCGGCTGAAATTCAAATCACAAATGGGCAGGTTAAGTGTACCCATCAGTCGATCAACTTGGGTACAGCCAGCCTGTCGGAATTTACATAAAATTTTTTGCTAGTGGCTATTATAGCTGCTAGCAGTAATTACTGTGTTCTCCCGGCAGGGATGGTTCCCCCCAGCCCCATCCTGCTGAAAGGACACAATGGCTCCCCAGGTGGAATTCCCCATCAACATTGACTTGGCTGATGGAGGAATCGAGCGATTTTCTTTCCTGGTACCCTTGCCTGCAGGAAAGCAAATTGCCCCATCTATGGCCAGCTTAAAGTGATACCAAAGCTTTTTTTTTTTTTTTTCCATAAAAAAAAAAACATGTCATAATTACCTAGTTTTGCACACAGTTGCCTTGATCCTCTTCTTTTTGGGTCCCTGCTGGCGCTCCCGGCTCCTCTCCCTTCAAGCAGTGCCCCCAGAGAAAGCTGCTTGCCCTGGGGGCACCGCTGCATGCTCGTTCCTGAGCTGCTGCTCGATGCATCCATAAGACACAGAGCCGTGGCTAGGTCCCGCCCCTTGCTCTCTCCTCTTTGGCTCACTGACTGACAGGGCTCCAGCTGCTGTCTCAGCCAATGACGAGGTAGAGTCCTTATACAGCCGAGGCAATTGCTGGATCAGAGGTAAGGATTTGGGGGGGGCTGGGAGGGCCACTGCACACGAAAGGTTTTTTACCTTCAGGCATAGAATGAGCCTTGAGCCTTTACAACCACTCTAAGAAGTTACTATAAGCACACAAAGGATTTTCGGCTGGTGCTATGCGTAGCCTAATCCAATAATCTGTAGAGTGGACAAAAGACAAAAAAGTAAACTCCAACCAAAGGGTTTTGGGTTAGGAGGCACCTTATACAGGCTCTAACTCTAACATTCTGTGCAAAAACAAAATTAAAAAAAAAAAATTGATTGGCACCACTTAAAACTGTTCACCTTTTCAGAACCAAAAAAAAAAAAAAAAAAAAAAGGTGGACACCATACACCCTCCCCACCGCCCCCATTCCTTGCATCACTCTGATCCGTCCCAGAGGTGCTGCAGAAAGAGGAGGGAGAAGAACAGGGATTTCAAATCACCGAACTGTAGGAGACGGAGCCCACAAGCACACTAAACTGGAGCCTTTGCCCCGCAGTGCCCCCTAGTGGCATAAATGTATATTTCTCTAGTTTGAGAACTGAATTGAGAAGTAAAGTGTTGCCTGAATTGTATTCCAGGATTTGCTAGACTTCAGCTGAGAGAATAATTTAAGACTTTACATAAAGTCTCAGCAATCTTTCATTACAGTCTTATATTATGTAGTTTGAATACCATGTCATAGATATATTTTTAATTTTAAAAGAACATATGCCACGCTTTTTTTTTTTCAATTTAAAAAAAAAAAACAGCTTTGAGAAAAAAAAAACTGGGGGAGGGGGGGAATGTATTTTGCCCCCAATCTTTCTGGGGGGGTTTTCCAGGCCTTTCTCCTACTCCTAATTATCTACTAAATCTGATGAGTGGCTTCACTGATAAATAAAAAAGAGCAGATCAAAAAGCGGACTTGATAAACGCAACATACCTTCTGCATAAGAGTGTCTGGGAACCCTACAGGTACACATTCATGTCAAAAAGTGAGCGCATCCCATTGAAACTGAACTTTTCCAACATATTTGAACAGCCAAACATTTTGACTCTCAACACTGGCCATAAATACATTGTTTCTTTGGGGTTTTTTTTTTTTTTTTCTTTGTTTAGCCAGTGGGTCTTTTTTAAAGCCAAATGGGCTTCTTCAATACTGCACTGGAAAGGCAAGCCTAGCCTTTAGCTCATGGCTAGGCCACATGAATAAATAGGCCACATGCAGTGACAGTACTGCCTGAGAAATGCGACTGGGGGGGGGGGGGGGGGGGGGGAGGGGAATATAATAATTTGTGATGGACAGCAAAGCATTGTAACAAATATATACTTGTAAAACGGAGTTTTGCACCTTAACCACTTGGTAACCATGCTATAGCCAAATGATGGCTACAGCGCGGTTACCCAGTCCTAGGAAGGCGTCATAGGATGTCCTCCCAGAACATGTGCTCCTGCGTGCCCCCGGGGGGTGCACACCTGGCGATCCTACGAACAAAGCTGATTACATGATGTGGTAAAAGGCCAATCACAGCGGCCTTTTACCACGTGATCAGTCGTGTCCAATGACACAGCACATCATCGGGTAAATACAGTTGCCAGTTATCGGCTGCACTTTCCTCACGCTGTTACAGCATGAGGCCCAAAAGTGCCGCCCACCAGTGCCACCCACCTGTGGTCCTGTTAATAGATATCTTCCATTCACGCGCAGAGCATGGCTCAGCCCCGCCCCTCGCTCGCTCCTCATTGGCTGTGATTGGCATTGGCAGCAGCAGGAGCCAATGGCCCCCGCTGCTATGTAAGCCAACGAGGAGTCAGATCCGCTGCTCCCATGCGCATCACTGGATCGAGATGGGGCTCAGGTAAGTATGGGGGGGAAATGGGGTGAGCTGCGCTCAGAAGGTTTTTTTATCTTATTTCAATGAATGCATTAGGGTAGAAAAAAAAAAAAAAAAAAAAACACTTTCTGCCTTTAGAACCTCTTTTAATAAAGCAAAACAAAAACTACAACCATTTTGGCTGTGACATTGCTTACAGTATCTCAGTGTGTATCTTTTGGGAAGTAATGGTCATTTAAAGAGAAAAAAATCCTTACTGTTCTGATACGTCATGGTCACTACAGTCACTGTAGTTGGGTTCTGAAGCAGAGCAGAGGCTGTCATCAAGCATATCATGGGGAAGGTCAGTTAATAACTGCTGTAACTGAATAGAAAAAGATACAATTGTTAATGCAAAGCCCTCACACACACGTTTCAACTGCATCCAATCCGCAAGACGTGACAAAACATTGCTTCCTATGGTGCCTGTTCACATATGTCCGGTGTACTGGTGGTGCGGATTCAGTGCAGTGTTAAACAGAGAGTCATGTCCAATTTCTGAGCAGTGCGGATTACATGCTATTGACTTCTATGGGAACCATTTCTAAACCGCATATGTGTGAACAGGATAATCCTGAAATCTAATCCTGTCCTGAACCTGCTGTAAACCTGACATGAACCTCTGAACAACTACTGTGTCAATTAGCTGTGAACCGCACGTGTGAATCAGCTCCAAGGGGCAGTTCACACTACAAGCATTTCAATGTGCTTTTTTGCTGCATCCAAAACGCACAAAGTAGGTTATATGGTTGTCATGGTCATAGTTCACATCAGTGCTTGCAGTTCCAATGCGTTCCATATGCAGAAAAAAAAAAAAAGTAGAACAGGCTGCATTTTTCCTGCACAGAACTGTACTGAAATGTGGTAAAAAGCAACTGAACACACCAAAAACACACTGGAATGCACATGTCCCTATTTTGACTGAAGAAAATAAAAGCGGAAAAAAATTTACTGGAACGCATCAAAAACACACCTGAATGTACCAAAAATGTACATGCAGAAAACTCATCCGACCTGCGTTTCTATAGTGTGAAGTGACCCTAAGTCCTCATGCACACGGGATGGTTTTACAGCGGCTGTTTTTGGCTTTTGACGTTTTTTTTCTACAGCCAGTAAACCCCCCAGCATGTTATCCTATGTGTCCATACACACACAAACTGTATTCAACTTTTTTGTCAGATGTTTTTTGGCTGGAAAAAAAATCCCAGGACTAATGGGTTTCTAGATGAGTTTTTTAGCTGTAAAAACGCTCTAACGCTGAAAAACACGGCAAACCAGCGTTTTTGGACCTTTTTAACAAAAAAAGAAAAAAAAAGTGGGAGGGTAAAAAAAAAAAAAAAAAAAAAAAGCGAAAAATGCGACAAAAACACTAATACAAAAATGCTAAAAAACATGGTGCATGGAATGTATTCAATATACATTGCTGGATAGGATGCACATATTCAACAGAAAATGGGATGGTTGGAATACACATCCATTGGCATTGAATCTTTGTTGGTTGCGCGGTTGTTCTGCATATCTTACTTCCTACCTCATTCATGTACTTCAACTTTATTTTTCTAGGATTATGTTTCATAATACTATTATTACGTGCCTTTTTCTGGATGTATACTATACCTCATGAAGTTGTGCTGATTTTGCAGTCTATCCCTCTATAAAAACATTTGTAAACATAAATGCTGAAAAACTCACGTTTTCAACATGACTTTACACAGCCAACATAACCAGCGTTATTAAAACGCCCCGTGTGCATGCAGCCTTAAAAGGGATACTAAACTCCAGTAAAAAAAAAGAAAAAAAAAAAAAAAAAAAACACACGCACGCAAATATGTATTCTTAATAAAAAAAAAAGTCCCTTTAGTTGCAGATGCAATGCTTTCCAGGCTCCTGCGGGAACAAAAGATTATAAATGCACATTTTTGTCTCCAGAAATACGTGCATTTATTATTTTTCCCCAAAAAAGTGAACTTACTGTCAAGCACTATATAAATATTGGCAATTCATAAATAATTAAGATGGTTTACAAAAATGTATTTCAACTTCGTATTCAGCCATTTGCTACACTGATATGTTAAATACATGCATGTGACTACAAGGTCTCCCTTTGTTTTGTAAAGTTTTGGCTCTATACAAATCCTGGATAATAATAATAATTGGTATTCAGCCAATACAGCTCAGGTAGGGAGTACACGGCAGATGGTGCGACATAACGAGTCCCCGGTGTGTAGAATGAATGGGACACATGGTGTATGTGCATTGTACATTCTGTACCACCTATCCACATCATAGGAGATCTGCGTTCTCACCAACTGTTCCCGGGCATAGTCCTCCTGGTCATACTCTTCATTATCATTCTGCTGGGTCTGTAATGCTCCACTGTCAAAGTCTATAGACATGGTGTGTGATCAGATCTATTTGTAGGGCCAATAACCTAGAGGGAACAATAAATTAAAGAATTATACAGAACGTGTTACTTGGATTGGATCAATCAGAAGTGTGTGCACCCCATAGTATCAATCTATTTGTACCAAAAAAAAAATATATATATATACCAACACTGATTAACCACTTGGCTACCAGGCTGATTCTGACATTTCTCACATACATGTAACAAAAAATTATTTTAGAAACCCCAAGCATTATATATTTTCTGATTGCATGGAGGTCCTGGAAAACAAAAAATGGTGGATGTTACATTTTTTTTTTTTTATGTCACATAATATTTCCGCAGGCATCTACCAAACGCAAATTTTCAGGAAAAAATACATTTAAGCTACAGTGCTGAAAACTGTCCTTTGTAGGTTATCAGTTTAGAGTTACACATGAGCTCTGGCAGCAGTATTTTTGCTCGCACTCTGACGTTTGTGTCATTTCCAGACCTACATGCATCTTTGCATTTGTGTACGAACAGGGGAGTAGTTAACATTATTATTTTTATTTTATTTAAAAACTTTCTTTTACACTTTTTTCATTTAACTTTATTGCTATTATAAGGGGTGAACAAAACCCTTGTGCTAAGTTTGGCCAGTGGCAGGTATCTCCCCTACCCTTCAAAGCATCTGATCAGAGACAGATCGATTTTGATCAGATGCTTCCCTGGCTGTACTGGCCAGAAAATGACAGCACTGAAACCTGAAGGGATGAAATCTTCTTTGCTTCCAACTTCATCCATCACAGACGAAATGAGGGAACAGATGTTCCTCCATCTCCCCTGTGCACGCAGCTGACCTGAACAGGGGAGGCCCCCTACTGAGCAATACAATTTTTTTTACACTGATCTAAATGCAGCCCATTGTTTTTAATAGTGCTGTACAAAACAGACATGTAAATCTACATTGTGTACAGAAAAAAAAAAAAAAAGTATTTTTAATACAATATGCACACACACCCCATGTGCTTGTATGCATGCCTGACAATGTCAAGGCATGCTCCTAATGAGACAATGGATGGTGTCCTGGGGTATTTCCTCCCAGATCTGGACCAGGGCATCACCGAGCTCCTGGACAGTCTGAGGTGCAACCAGGCAGCATCGGATGGACTGAAACATGATATCCCAGAGGTGTTCTATTGGATTTAGGTCAGGTGAGCGTGGTGGCCATTCAATGGTATCAATTCCTTCATCCTCCAGGATGCCTAGGACCCACTGCACCAACGTAGGGTCTGACAATGGGTCCAAGAATGGCAGTCAGGGTGCCATTGTCTAGCCTGTAGAGGTCTGTGCGTCCCTCGATGGATATGCTTCCCCAGACCATCATTGACTCACCAGCAAAATGGTCATGCTGAATGATTTTCCAGGCAGCATAACATTCTCCATGGCTTTTCCAGACCCTTTCATGTCTGTCACATGTGCTCAGGGTGAACCTTCTACAGCCCTGTCTAGCTCCCTTAGAGTAACTGCCTGTCTCCTGGAATATCCTCCATTCTCTTTAGACTGTGCTGGGAGACACAGCAAACCTTCTGGCAATGGCATGTATTGATGTGCCATCCTGGAGGACACATCTCTTGAGGTGCTAAAATACCAGGATAGAACAAACACCCCCAAATGACCCCTTTTCGGAAAGTAGACACCCTAAGCTATCTGCTGAGAGACATATTGGGGTTTATTTACTAAAGCTGGAGAGTCCAAAATCAGACTCCCTTCTGCATAGAAACCAATCAGCTTTAACCCAGCTTGTTCAATGAAGCTTTGGCAATGAAAACCTGGTTAGAAGCTGATTGGTTTCTATGCAGAAGGAAGTCTGATTTTGGACTCTCCAGGTTTAGTAAATAAACCCCATTGTGTCCATAGAAGATTTATTTTTTTTCCACAAGTTTCTGGAAAATGACCAAAAACATTTTTTTTTTTTTACACAAAATTGTCATTTAAATGATTCATTTCTTGCATAAGTCATGGGTATATGTGGAATTACACCCCAAAATACATTCTGCTACTTCTACCGAGTATGAGGATACCACACGTGTGAGACTTTTTGGAAGCCTAGCCACATACAGGAGCCTGAAATCCAATGACCACTTTGAAAGCCTGAAGGTGCGTAACTTCTTCATTTCACTTCCTCACTACCTATCACAGTTTTGAAGGCCCTGACATGCCAGGATAGCACCAACCCCCCCAAATGACCCTTTTTTGGAAAGTAGACACTCCAAGGAATTTAAAAAGAGGCATGGTAAGTATTTTGCAGATCTCATTTTTTCCTCACAAGGTTTTGAAATATAAAAAAGAAAAAAAAAATATGTTTTTGTTTTCTTTCTTCATTTTCCAAAAACTTGTGGCAACAAATGAGATCTGCAAAATACTTACCATGCTTTTTATCAAATTCCTTGGGGTGTTTACTTTCCAAAAATTGGTCATTTGGGGGGGGTGGGGGTGCTATTCTGGCATTCCAGGGCCTCCGAAACTGTGATAGGTAGTCAGGAAGTGTAATGAGGAAATAAAGCCCTTTAAAAGCCTGAAGGTGCTTATTGGATTTTGGGGTCCTGTACTTGGCTAGACTGCCAAAATGTCTCTCACCTGTGGTACCCCCATACTTGGGAGAAGTAGCAAAATGTATTTTGGGGAGTAATTCCACATATACATATGGCATGTGTGAGCAAGAAAATTATTTAAATGAAAATTTTGTGTAAAATTTTTTTTTTTTTTGTCATTTTCCAAAAACTTGTGGTAAAAAAATAAATTCTTCTATGATTCAACATGCCTCTCAGCAAATAGTTTGGGGTGTCTACTTTCCAAAAAGGGGTCATTTGGGGGGGTGGGGGCATTTTATGCCCTTAGCATTAGAAGTTTATGCCACACATCACTCACTCTTCTAACCACCTGAAGACCAAGCCTTTTCTGACACTTTTTGTTCACATTAAAAAAATCAGTATTTTTGCTAGGAAATTAAAGTGAACCCCCAAACATTATATATTTTTTTTAGAGCAGACACCCTAGTAAATAAAAGTGGGTGCTGCAATTTTTTTATCTCACATATTACTTACACAGCGATTTTTCAAACGCAATTTTTTTGAAAAATATACACTTTTTTTACATTTTAATGCACAAAAACACAATATATTGGCCAATTATTTGGTATGATATAAAAGATGATGCTATGCTGAGTAAATAGATACCAAACATGACATGCTTTAAAATTGCGCATGCCCTGTGCAATGGCGACAAACTGCATACATTTTTAATATCTATAGGCAAACGCTTTAAAAGCCTTTACAAGCTACCATTTTAGATTTACAGAGGAGGTCTAGAGCTATAATTACTGCCCTTGATCCAACGTTCATGGCGATACCTCACATGCATGGTGCAATCGCTGTTTCCATACTGGCACAGGGTCAACGCTCACGACCGCAGGTGTGCAGGTGAGGATGGGCGAGGATACTTTTTCTTTTTTTTTTTTCTGATTTATTTAATTTTTTACACTGTCCCTTTAATTTTTTTTTTTATCACTTTTAATGCTATCTCAGGGGGGGGGGGGGGCTGTTTGTAAAAGCAATCCTGCAGCTAATTAGCCACTAGGAATGCTTTTACATGAAAGCCCATCGCCGGCTGAAAAAAATGATACCAGGATGATGCCTGCAGCTGCAGGCATCACCCTGGTATAACCATTCAAAGTCCAGTGATGTACCAGTACGTCGCTGGTCCTTGTTGGGTGTATATGCTATGTTCTTTTTTTCTTTATGCAGCCTGTGGGCTGAATGAAAAAAAAAGAGAAGAAATCTCTGCAAGAAAAAGTGTGTGGTGGTATGCCCACCATTAGAAAACCTCCCTGCATCCACCCACTTCTAATGGTGGGCACACATGAAATGTGCCAACAAATAAAAAATATATATGCCGAAGCATAGGGGCCATCCACCCACTGGCCACCCCAGGCCCCCATGCTTTGGCATATATTCTCTTTTTTTTAACTGCGGATGAAAAATCTCATCCGACAGCACTGACACACCTACTTATGTCTATTCTGAAAGCAAGACCCTGTTGCTGTCAGAATAAACAGGTCAGTGCTGCAGTTTGACATTCCTGCAAAGAAATCAACAATGGTTAACAATAAAACAAACTCAATAAAACAACTTTATTTATCAAGGAAAAGTGTGTGGTGGTATGCCCACCATTAGAAAACCTCCCTAAATCCACCCACTTCTAATGGTGGGCACACATGAAATGTGCCAACAAATATAAAATAACAATCACAAAAAACAACAACAAAAAAACTAACTATTTTTGGTTTTTAAATTTTTTTTTATTTTTTTTGGGGGGGGGGGGGATTTGTACTTTTAATTTTTTTTTTTTTAACTTTTTTTTTTTTTCAAACTTTAAACATTTTTAAAACAGATGGTAGGGTCTCTCCAAATGCGATAGCCAGTTTCCTGACTACCTAACATCTTTCGAGACCCTGTGTAACTGTGCCCTGAACTGTGCCGTGCTGTACCCTATACTAATAGTCCACTAGTGTATGGTAGAGGCGGAAGCAGGGCTTGACGCAGAGGCTAGGTTGGCCAGGACAGGAGGGACAACAATAGCGGCTGTCATGCCTAATTCCACGTTTGCTGCAGACACGACATCTTTTTTGGGGTCTTCTTTGGGTTGGGGTACCAGGAATGGTATCGGGAAAATGTCTCTCATGCAGCCGGCTAACTGCAACTGGGAGAGGGGTTTGGGGCGCAGCACCTTCTGGATACAAAAGGGCCCTGATGATCTCTAACTGGAATTTTAGGTAGGATTCACTATGTCCAGTTGCTTTATAGAGAACAAAAGCGTTATATACAGCCAATTGAAATAAATAAACAGACACTTTTTTGTACCAGCGTCTGGCTTTTCGGGAAACTAAGTACGGCTTCATCATCTGGTCTACGATTAGCGCCCTGTCCTTGGTGTCAGTGGGGACGGTTAGCGCCCTGTCCGTGG